GAAGCTCGAGACTGCAAGAGAGGCTTTGCAACTCTCCCTAACCCCTAAACCCTAAACCCTAAACCCGTACACCCCTAAACCCTAAACCCCTAAACCCCCAAACCCTAAACCCTAAACCTAGTGTCTCTGAGGGATCTGTCCCATGCTACTCCTGTCGGTTGGCATCCCAGGCCTCCGAGAAGAAGGGAACGGGATTGTACGGTGCCAGCATGCTTGGCCTGAGGCAGCATTGAACGACGAGGAGGCATTTTCCTATAGCTGATGGTGATGACGACGATGACGATGACGAAGAGGATGGTGATGGTGATGGGGATGAGGAGGAGGAGGATAGAGGAGGATGAGAATGATGATAACTATCATACATGTACTGTTGTCCATGATAACGGTGATGACACGGCAGCATGAGGAAAGTCATGATGGCCCGATATACTTTGATTGTTATCATGACGACGATGACTACAGTATAATGGGGAGAAATGGAGCATGGGGAGGAGCGGGAGGAGGGGGAGGAGGAGGAGGACGAGGACGAGGACGAGGACGAGGACGGGGCGCGGGCATCAATGAGGATTCAAATGATGACGAACATGACGATTCAGGACCAGTGTGTCATGGTGATGTCCATCACGCCAGCTTTTCTGAACATTGCTCTTCCTGTTGCTGACAAACGGCTTATAGGGTTCAGGGGGCCTTTTATGGGTGTATGGCTTTACCCTAAACCCTAAACCCCAATACCCTAAACCCTTAAACCTAGCACCCTAAACCCTAAACCCTAATACCCCAAACCCTAATGTATGGCTTTACGGCTCTTTGCCATTGCGGGCTCCGGCCAAGCCTGGGGATGGAGGGGTCGAAGGTGTCCGCCAAGGCCTCTGGCTCGGAGACTGCCCAAACACGGAGAACAAGGCGGGTAGTCATGGGATGATTTATGAGGGTATTGTGGGCGGTAATTCTGATAATGATGGTAGTCATAGTAATGGGATAATTATGATAATTATGGGGGCATTGTGGGGGTAATTATGATAATAATCATCATCCTCATGCTTACAAAACCGACATGTATCATGCAGGGCCGTGCAGGGCATGCCGTCCGGTCCTTCTTCTGCACGATGGAGCGGCAGACCTCATCAGACGTTTCCAAAGAGAGGACATGCCTTGCATCCGCCTTTTGGCCAAGGTGCGTCGGTCCAGCAGTTCATGGCAGTTCCGGTGGCGCCGGCAGCGAAGCCAGACAACACATCCTGGCCAAGACACGAGCTGAGCAGATGAAACGGCTGACATTTGCCGAAAACCTGCTCCGGCCTGGGCGAGTTTATTCGAGACGGCGCTGCTCACCTCAGGCAGAGCGTCGGGAGAGTGGCTCTTCCAGCTTTTCTCTTATAGGCTCCGGCGAAGGCTTGCCTTTTCAAAAACGGGTACGCTCAGGTCGGAACCCACCCCTTGTAGAGGTCCAGCGTCAGGAAGAAGCCACCAGTCCATAAGCACTGCCGCACCTGCCAGGGACGGGTCTTCTGCAGGGAACTTAGGGTTCAGGCTTTAAGGGTTTAAGGGTCAGGGGTTTGATTCGCTGTTTTGGGGCGTCCGACCTATGATTCACGAGATTGGACTTCCGTTGCTGCCTCTCTTTGCATCACTAAGCCTACTACCACCCGAGAAGTTGAACTAAGCCTTAAACCGTTACAATCCCTTCTGATGCCGTTTGAACAAAACCCTTCACGGCAACCCGTACAGTCCCTTCTGATATCCTTCAACATCCTATAACAAACCCCTAAACCCTAAACCCCTAAACCCTAAACCCTAAACCCTAAACCCCTGACCCCTAAACCCCTGAACCCTAAACCCCCTAAACCCTTCATATACCCAAAGCTGCTAAGGGCCATCTCCAGGCCTGCATGCCGGCATAGCCAATCATCAGACCGTTGAAGCCTCGGGTCTTCAAAATGTGCTTCGCGATGTCGGCCTGAGCTGCTATACATATATATATATACACACACATATATATATATATAGATACATGCATATATATATAATATTAGAGAGTGTGTATGTATGTATACATATATATATATATATGTCAGAGGGAACAAGCATTCATAGCACGCCTCATCTGGAAAACGATGCTCGAAAGTATTCTTGGAACCACTTCTCTACTGTTGAGTAGATGCTCGACAGAGAAGAGTGCTTCGAATTCATCTCTTGTGTTAAAAACTCGTCCGGATTACTATGGTTGCTACATGTTCACAAACTGACAAAATGTTGCACACATGGCCGCTAGCAGGTATGCACAAGCTGTGCCTCTTGCATGCCTGAGTGCCAAAGGCCATAATGGAGCCATGGTACGAAGATCATATTTCACACTTTCTGTTACCACTCTATGCACCCTAAACCCTGAACCCTAAACCCTAAACCCAGCTGCTAGTAAGACCACTTCTGCTCGTTGAACATGCGCCTACAGGGCCCTGCATGCTCTCCATCTCAATCGGCATTCCGGGTGCCGTTCATCATCGTGTTGCCTGTCTTGCCCTTTCTGGTATCTTAACTCTGATATATCATTATACTAACAACAATAACAATAACAATAACAGAAACAATAACAATAATCATAATAACCAAAATAATAATACTGCTCTCTGGTATCCTAGCACGAGTACCCTGAAAGTCTTTCTTGGCCGGCCGATGTTATGTAGGCAGCTGAGCGGCAGATCCACTAAACTTTCCTTCCTTGTCCAGCTGGGCTGCCAGCTTGATGTTCCTTGTGCTAACTTCTACAGCCCAAGGAAACACTCCCACGTCATGACAGATCGCAAGCCGTGACATGTTATCTCACAATTTCGCTACAGACAATAAGACAGTGCGGAAAACGTCAATAATGATAGAGCAGATAAGAGTACGGGCGCTCGAATTCGCATGCCAAACCTTCGCTGCGACTTTTGCCAACGAGTATCTCCAACGGCGAGATCGCAAGAACCTGTCTCACTGTTCAGGCGCAGTGATCTGCAACAGCACACTGACCCCCGTAACCCTAAACCCTAATTCGAAGCCATGTACCCTAAACCCCTGAACCATGAACCCTACACCCTAAATCCTAAACTCTAAACCCCAAACCCCGAGCTTGCAAACTGCACCCTAAACCCTACACCCAAAAGCAAAACAGTCTTCGGGCCTCTGGAAAGGTGCCAATCGCACCGGCGAGGCCCTGGGAAGCCCAGGTGAGCTTGCATCGCACAAACATAGACAGAGATAGATAAATAAGATAGATCGATAGATAGATAGGTAGATAGATAGATAGATAGATGGATTGGCTAGATAGGTAGCTAGGTAGATAGATAAGTAGATAGATAGATAGATAGATAGATAGGTAGATAGGTAGATATATAGACAGATAGGTAAGACAGACAGCGAGAGACAAAGAGATGCACCTAATTACATATTTCCATTCGTGGTGAGAAGCAGCATACAACGATGACGCTAGTGCCAGGCAGCTGTCAGCTAAAGAAGCAATCGACGAAAATTCAGGGGCACGAGTCGCAGAGCGAACAGCGGGAATCGGTCAAAAGGAGACTTGTGCCGGGAAGGATTGGGCATGCGGCAAGCGATCGGGCTGATGTTGAACCGGCACCTTCTGGCAAAGGGTACACTGAACCTGTTCTCTGTTGACAATCCCCCAGAGAGAATGCCTGGACAGCATCTCAGCATAGCCCATCTATGCTAATTTTCTGCCGTACTACACCAAACTATACTTAACAAAACAAAAAACATTCGAAAGCATACTCCACTCCACTCCACTCGACTCGGCTCGGCTAGAGCAGACTAGACTATAAACCACTCCAGTACAGACGAAGTAGATGATCGGGGCGCCTTGCTGACGGGAGTGCCTTTGGTCTCGGGTTTGCCGTAGAGGCTTTTGTGCACCTCAGAGAGGTGCGACAAGCTCTGTCTCCGGACTTTGGGTTCGGGCTTAGGGTTTAGGGGTTTAGGGTTTAGGGGTTTAGGGTTTAGGGGTTTAGGGTTTAGGGGTTAGAGAGAGAAGCATGCGCCAGCAATAAGGTCTCGACAATGGGCTGCATGAAGAACCTGGGCCGGACGAGACTCTAGCTCCTTGCTTCCCCAATAAGCCAGGGAAATAAAAGGTTAAACTTTCAGATTACTACTAAATTATAAGAACCCAAAAAGTTTAAAGGTTGGGTATTGGGGAGCTAGGGCTCGCAAGACTACTGGTGACCGACTGCCTGCTGTGAGCACCCACACAGAAACCTAAACCTTCCAGAATGCTAAACCCTAGGTTATGTCATGTCGTAATTAATACATCATACCATGCTATACTGTGTTACATCACATTCTGCTATGTTATCTGGTACTGGTCTAGTTCTTGCATGACATGACCTTGTTATGCATTACATTTCATACTATGTTGTCGTGTGCCATATTGTCTTGCTACGCCGCGAAGTATTCTGTATGTCGCGAACTAAACCGCCAACCAGGTCCAAGGCAGGTCACTTGATGGCTCGGGAGATGGAAGCCCTCGTGACTTCGGCAACCAGGCCCTGCTTCACAAAGCCCATGACGCCGTGAGCCTTCCCAGGGGGCTTCAGGGGTCTAGGCTTCAGGGGTTAGGGGTTTTAGTGGGGTAAAAGGTTTAGGATTGAGAAAAGGTTTAGGATTGAGGGCTTGGTGCGCGTATAGTTATAGTTCAGCGTGCATGCAACAGAACAGTCACCGATAGCAGAAGGCAACAGAGGCAAAACCAACACTGCTGAACGCGTGAACACGAAACCCCAGCCTGGTGCCCTGCGAGGGCCATATTAAAAAGGATCATGTTTTAAAATCCTTTTTGGGCTTTCTTATAACAAAAATGTAAGATCGTATTTTTTTGAATCCTTTTTGGGTTTTCTTATAAACAAAACTTTACTGGCCCCAGCCCCCCTGCAAAAATTTTAATTTTTACTCCCTTGACCCCTTATGATATGTTCTTATGTATATATTTATAT